CTTATGAGTCAGAACCAACTCGATGGCAGGGAGTTTCATTTACCCATACCTACTCCTCATCAACTCATGCACACTTAGAATGCACCACATTCGAGAATATAAGTTTTGGTTCAGAAGAAAATCATGTTTGATGTGGCTTATAAAAGTCCTGACAAAACAATGGTTCATGATTTTCCCCAAATTATTATTCTTTCCTTCAATGTTAAATTGTAGTGTCTGTGTGTGCATGCCTACTCTTTCAAGACAATAAATTTGCTTTTAAAAATTGGGTACTTACCCTGTCTACATAGTCCTTCAACTCGGTATGGATGACATTCACATATTCCTGTGCAAAATTTCTAAAGTCACATCTAGAGAAGTTATAGGCTAGCACCAGCTCCACCAGTTGCAAGATGAAGAAGATCTTGAAAAAACCTGATAGAACAAATAATAATGTATCAGGCAAGGCACTTGGAAACCTTCTTGCACCCTGCTTTCACAAAAAAACTCTCTCCACCAAGGCTGGATTGCATCTCGAAGGCCCAAGCCAGGCTAATATCTCTAATTCCCAGAGACTAATATCTCTAATTCCCAGAGACTAATATCTCTAATTCCCAGAGGAGGCTCATATTCACCCATGCTGTTGCCTTAAGTTGGAGTCTCCCTGATGCTCCCGAGCTTTCTGGCTCCACATATATAATACCTATACGCCTACGGGCTATTTCCCTCTAGACCAATAGTTTTCTTTGATGTCACTCTATTCCTTTAGAGAACTCTGAAAGGAAAAAGTAGGACCAGCCAAATCTATGGAATTTTAATATTAGTAAAATTATCAGGAATTTCCCTTATCACCCTTAAAAAAAAAAAATTTGCCCTAAATGGAACCTACTGCCATCTAGTAACTGACTTTACAGGATGAAGTAGGAACTACTCCATAGGGTTCTCAAAGCTGTAATTCTTTTACAGAAGCACATTTTCACCCATGGTAAGTGGGCTCGAACCACCGACCTTTGGATTAGTAGCCAAAGCTGAAACTTTTGCCACCAAGGCTCCTTTACCTGTGCCCTATACCTTCATGTGTCTGATTGTGCTTTAACTCCTGCAGGACATAGAGGGTCTACCAAAGTTTTCTGACACCAGGGCATAGTGGGAAACTGGTATCCAACTTCTATTGCTTGCTGCTCTTTGGGGTGGGAGTGGGGGGCTGTAATAGCATGAATCTGAAGAAATAGAACTTACTCCACCAACACCAACAGCAAAGACTCCTTGAAACAGCTGTGCCCCACTCATCCTGTCAGTATCC